CAAGCAGAAAATATTCTGGGTGAAATAAACACCCACAACATCCAATTTCTTGATTTTATATGTCTTAAATACCCCTATAAATCTGTTTTACACGATCACCGCGTGGAATAATGAGACATGTTGATACATACGAAAACACAAGGGTTGCATTTCTCGTGAGACAAGAAAATCAATATTTAATTCCTATGAAGAGATTTTTCACGTAAATCATGTATATACTTTTTATCAAATGTTTTTAAATGTATTGTTACCAATTCCATTTGAACATCTGAATGTCAGTCTATTATCATCATTTAGAAATGAATACCAAGACTTATTGCTACGTATGGGTTATTTATTCACCGTGAATACCTCCTCAAATCAAACGATTAGACAAAATTGCTGTTAAACCACAGTTATCCTGGTACATCATTTTATACCTGATTTCGGTGCGTCACGACAAAACTACAGGTTTTCCGTCAAGCCTCGTGAGAAATCCCATTCACAGAAGTGAACGAGCAACCAACTTAAATAATGTTTTGATTGTATATTTTTGACAACATCTCCAACTTTACCTGAGCAAAGACATTCCTTCCCAAACTCATAATGGAACGCAGGAAATGGTCTCAAAAACGCAACTTGATCTCGGAGACGGTACGGTGTTCTCCATGTTTTTCATGCAACTCATGCTGTACGTGCTGTTCACAAGGACCAGCCCTATATAATGCACTCACGACAGCTCGGAGGAACCAGGCTAGGAAGACTAGAAGCTGGCCACACTGAACAAGCCGTTGCTAATCACTTCCAGGTCAACGTTCGGACCATCTACAGGCTGCAGCAACGTTTCCGGACCACCAACACCACAAATACCCCCGTACGGGCAGACTAAGGGTGACCACAAGATGACAAGGCCGCCATATTGTGCGACAGCATGTACAGAATCCCTTCATGCAGGCATCCGAAACAGAGAGCCTGACAATGGGAACACACGGAAGACCAATCAGTACTGATACAGTACGCCGACGTCTTAACAGCGGGAACCTCCATTGTTGTTGACCTTACCGTGGACCTATCCTCACCCCTCGTCATCGGCGTGAACGTCTACAGTTTGCCCTACAACACCAAAACTGGCGATACAGGCAATGAAGAACTGTTCTGTTCACAGATGAGAGTCGGTACTGCGTATCAACTGTAGATGGCAGAACAAGAATATGGCGACGACGTGGCCAGCGTTACTCAGACCAATGTGTTATGGAAAGAGACTCATGGGGAGGTACAAGCGTCATAGTATGGGATGGAGTATGGCCTGAACCAGAGAGTGGGTCCTGTGGTGTTCCCGAGCCTTGGTCCAGGGAGACGAGGCGCAAAATTCATACCACATTTCGCACGTCACCGGAACAACATTTTCCAGCGTGATAACGACCGGGCCCATACTGCCAGAGTTACATGGGACTTCCTACAGCACAACGGTGTCAACATTTTGAAGTGGCCTGCCCTTAGTCCTGATTTAAACCGAAATAAACATCTTTCAGATCAAATTCAGAGGAGACTGAATAATGTCATACCAAGGCCGAACACAGCCGATCTATTGCGTCAGGCCTTTCTCAGAGTGTGGTACCAGGTGCCAATGGCCTTCATTAATCGATTGGTCCACTCCATGCATAGACGCTGTACTGCAGTTATTGCTACTCGTGGTGGTAACACTAGATACTGAAGTCAAGAGTCTGAATGGATTGCAAACGTTCACGTAATGTCTCGAAATTGTGCTAGGTTATGCATTGTTGTGTCAAGATATTACACACACAAAAAATTTTATCCGCTTATTATGTCCATTTCTGTAATAATTTGATTACAGTGCCTATCTAATTTGGAAGTAGTATTGGCGTTTTTTATTGCTGCTGAGTATATATATACCGGATACATATTTATTGTTTATTGTTTATTTGTAAAGGATACATGTAGGCTATCGGCCCATGGTACATTGATCGTCCATGATCAATGGATACATAATACAGATATAAAACGAGACGTCATCGATGTTATTTACATACGAGGAACCATGTGTAGGATTTTTATGATCCATACAAAAGTTTAAAATAAAAATGAAAATATCGTCATGTCCCTGTTCCTTAACTCTGACTTCGTCGATGCAAATCTGCCCTTGGATTATCCATTTAAGTTTCCATTAAATATATGTTCTCATAGACAGTTTGAAAAGTTTGTACATACACCCAAAAAAACGTGATTTTTGGTGGAAACTTGGCCACATCCATTACTCACCTTCCGTTGCCAATTGTAGCTCTGAGTGACTCAAAGAAAGTACGTGGATTTAATTTGATTTGATTACGTCTTTCCTCGGAAATGGGACAAAAATAGTTCCAACTGCACATACAACACAATGAAGTATAACGTCGCACTTTCCACCCGTGAATGACACCTTTCGTTTATTATTCATAGTCGTAGAAATTAAGAATCAACGCCAGCGGATCCAATAGCTGTCAGGCGTTCAAAACGTTTGCCCTATTGTCTGTCAAAATTGTATTCAGTGTAATAATATCAAGCAGCATAAATGAGTTTAAAATGTTCCATAAAGTTCAAGATATAAATCCCGTTAACGAGAGGATCGAACATTGCGTTTTTTGTTTTCAAAATGCGATTGGACGTTTTCAGGTAATATGGTCTTAATGTTTGACAGAAAGAAGTCGTTCTCTGTTGGAAAACAATTCATATTCAAACAATTTTGTTACCTTTGTCACAGTAAGTTTATGTATTGTATTCAAAATATATATAATATTGTATACCTACATATTAAGACAGAAAATACAAATACAATACAAATAAATAAAGATAGAAAATACGACAGAAACAATGTTTTCTATGGTAACAATGCAAAAACAATCATGTATATTTTAAAGTCTACACGTATAAAGCAACAATTCCAAAATATAATTATTACTTCATTAAATTTTCACTGTACATGCATATATGCTAAGGTGAATTCTTTGGCCATATGGGAATTAAATGAAAAGCTTTTATTATGATTAACCATATGCATGTGTGTGTCTGCAGTTCAGATGTGAGACATTTGGGCGTGTTTTAATAACAGTGTAGGTCACGATGACTTTCTTTGTGATACGAGAACGTTGTATCATCCCCAGTGTGTGTTGTCTCATTGTGTAATATCAATCATGTGACTCGTCAGCAGTCATGCGATCAGTCAAGTTAAACTGGCTGGTTACGATAACACTCTGAGGCTCTACTCTTTTGTGCCTTTATTGATTTTTCTAAAGCATTTGATAAGGTTTGGAGAATTGGACTGTGGACCAAAGTAAGACAAACTGGTATCAAGGGTAAAATACTGACTTTAATACAAAATATGTATAATGATATAAAATCTTGCGTTATGGTAGAATCTGCAAGATCAGATTTCTTTTATTGTCTTTCAGGAGTTAGACAAGGAGAAAACTTGTCCCCTCTTTTATTTTCTTTATTCCTAAATGACTTAGAATCCCATTAAGAAGAACAAGCATGTGTCGGTATTGAATTAAAACAAATAATGATGAGTTTATTATTTATCTAAAATTGCTAGTTCTACTTTACGCTGACGATACAGTCCTCTTAGCTGAAACTCATGATGATTTACAACATACACTGAATAAATTCGCTGTATATTGCGACATATGGAAAGTTAAAGTAAATATTAGTGCAAACTAATATTATTGTTTTTGGTTCCGGACCTGCAGCTAGTTATAAGAAATCGTTTACACTATATGATGATAGAATAGAAGTTGTAGACACTTATAAATATCTGGGAACTCTACTACACAGAAATGGTCGTATGAATTTTGCTGTTAAACACATAGCCGATCTTGGTATGAAGGCATCAATAGCGTTACTAAAACGTTCCAGAAATGTTAAGTTACCACTGGACCTGCTCCTTTCTGCATTTGATAGATTAGTAGTACCAATATTGATGTATGGATGTGAAATATGGGGACATGAGAAGACTGACATGATAGAAAGAGTACATCTAAAATTTCTTAAATTAGCAACTGGTTTAAAATATAACACCCCTAATTTCATGGTTTACTGGGAGCTTGGTAGGGAACCTATTCAGCTTCAAATTTCGAAACGACTAATCTCGTACTGGTGTAAATTGACATTATCACATCCAAATAACAAAATAGCAACTTTCATTCTTCAATATATTACTAAACAAAACAAAACATCGAATAACTATGTCTGGCTAAGTCATGTTAAACATATTCTCCGTAGGTGCGGATTGCCTGACTTTTTTGACAACCCTCATCTATACTCAAATTCATGGATCATTTCAAATGTTGAATCTATCTTAAAGGACCAATTTTTACAATCGTGGACGAGCGATATGCAAAACTCCTCTAAAGGAATATACTATAAAGTTCTGAAGCGCTCTCCAAACTTCGAACAATACCTACTTCTCTCAGATGCTATTTCTAAACCGATCCTAAAATTTTTAACATGCAACCATAAAATCCCCATAGAAACAGGGAGATGGCAAAATATACCAAAAGAACACAGAGTTTGTAACTTATGTGACTCACATTTGATCGGAGATGAGTTCCACTATTTGTTTAAATGTAATTATTTTGCAGACATACGTAAATCGTTGTTAAAAGAACCTTATAGTTCCTGGCCAAATTTATCGAAATTCCGTCAACTGTTTTCAAGTAAAATATCTACCCTTGAAAATGTATCCAAGTTCATCAAGATTATTTGCAAACACTTTAATTGATGCATCATTTAGTCATCTTGTTGTACATATTGTATGTAACATACCTCTTTGTTATACTCATGTACCACCGATGGTGGATTATTTTGAGTAATAAACGTGTGATGATGATGAATAAAAGTCTAGGACACGATAACTTTCTTTGTCGGAAACCCAATGTGATACGAGAACGTTGTATCCGCCCCAGAGTGCTTCATTGTGTAATATCAGTCATGTGACTCGTAAGCCGTCATGCGATCAGTCAGGTTAAATTGACTGGCTACGCTGACACTCTGAGGCTTAACGCGTTCAAAATAACCGCCGCTATTTCGACAAGTGGTGACAAAAGTATTACATTACCAACACTTGTGTAATAATCACATTTAGCAATCTAGATGTCTGCTAGAGTAGTACTGAGCCTAGTAAAGGTAAGAAATTTGTGTGTTGTTTTTTTCTATTTTTTCAAATAGTCTTTCAAGGGACATTGTCAAAGTTAGTTTTCCTTATATAAGGGGATAAAGGATACTTAATAAGCACTTACTGCTGTAGATACGAACTATTGGAAAAGGTAGATAACATTTTATGTAGCATTTCTGACCAAATCCAATGTAAAACTTTATGATTTTCCATCAATACACTAACATATTAAACATAAATATGTCAACGTGTAAACGACAGGTATACCATTCCATAGCGTACATTTACTAAAAGAGAGTAATGTGAATGTCACGTTTAGAATACAGCTCTGACTACACAAGGAACTGGTACTTGTTATACCATTGCCAGGACTGGTGGTCCATTAAGGTTGTGTTAATGTTTCTCGAAGCATCAAAATAAATCAGTATATTTTATGTGGATGTCTCTGTAGCAAGTTGATGTTCTCCAAGAATATGTCAATGAACAACGGATCTCTGAACACCGTAGAATGACTGTGAATAAGAATTTTCGGGTAACCGTATCTAAAAAAATAAACATATTTTCTCAGTACATACCGAAATGCAGTTTCAATGCTAAAGAAGAAATATACAGCAATCCAGCTACAAACTTTCATTTGACAAAATTATTATGTGTCCTTGGGAACTACAGCTACAATGTTTGATTGTGATGATTATGTATTGTATATTTACAAAGTAACTGAGAGGTCACTTTTCAAGTTTTATCGATCTTGAAAGATTGCAAATTACAACCAATACTTCTATATGTGGCAAAATCGATGAGTATTTATAATTCATGAAAGACCAACAACAAAAGAGTTAAATAATAAAGAGAGTTGATGTTAATGGAGATAAACCCGGATGAAAATATTGTTAACATTGAACAAAAAACTGTAGTCGATTTTGTCATTGGAAATTATTAAATACCAGAGAATAACCACTTTCTGTTTTCTTCTAAATAGAATCCACAAGTTTGTAATCAAAAGCATACCCATATCATCTGTCAGTATTGCACTTTTTTGACTCCACACAGGTATTCCGGGAACAAGTAATGGCTGATAAAACCTCTAGCGTACCGCAAACTACATTTAGACTGAGTTTTGTAATCGATACTGAACTTCAGTTTTCAACAAACTTACAGTTTAGGTATCACCATTGAAGTTGAGATCTCAGCTGCATAAAGGATATGCTGAAAGGCACACTGGGTTGTGATATATCTTCCTTTCTCATCACATCCTTGACACATCTGACCAGAATACAGTTTGATTACTTTCAACATGATAAATATGATCCATCATAACTTTTAATTATGTTCAAACATCATATCAACTAAACTTACCTCAAAGCTACCAAGTTTTCACGTGTTGTTGGAGAGTTGCGATAGTGTGTGGCGATAAATATAGAGTCCACCCAGCGTCCTCTACCGGTATTGCGCAATATTACAAGGAAGATATGCATAATAACAACATGTAGTGGCTGAGGCTTCATAGATCATTGAGAAATACTTCAGTGGTAATCATTCTTGTATTTACAGGTAAGAATTACCCTTCCGATTTAAATATGTAGTTCAATCTATTACATGGCAATTATTGACAATGACGTATTCATAATAATAGCATTAAGTTAGTTTCACATATTCGATATTGTGGTCTACAAGGTTTGATACCAGCTTTCACTCAAACTGTAATGCATCCATGCATTATGATGAAGCAACGTTGTTGCAGTTGATTCTTAAACAAGATTACAGTGGCCATTCTGAACGTGCACTTTGTATACTGTAAAACTGGAGCAATTACAAAAATCTGTTTGATTTCATTTGAGACCGATGAATTGCTCACTGACACAAAATCTAATAATTGTTACAAAACCAAATTTTGGACAGTCACATAAAACCTACAGACAAACTCTGGTGATTTGTCTCATATTTTTTCGAGGGGAGACCACTTATTGGTAGATCAGGCAGCTGTGCGTGTTGCACGTGTGAAATTGAATTTTCCCTACACACGCTTATTGATTACCTGGCTGTTCTACCAGCAAGTGCCCCCACCCCCTCCCCGTACAAAATAACGAAAAGTCACAACAAAATAATGATCATTTGTTAAACAACTCTTTTATTCGGGTGTCCAAAATTATGACACAAATCATCAGAGTTGGTCTGTCGATTTCATGTGGCTGTGCAAAATTTGGGTTTGCTACAATTGCTAGATTTTACGTTAGCGAGCAATTCACAGGTCTCAAATGAAATCAAACGAACCTGTAGTAATTACATGTCTGCAATTGTATATATAATTATGTGCCGACAGAAACCATCATATATCAAAAGGCGCATTCGCTATTAAATAATGCAGCCTATTTGTGCGTCATTATAAAAATAGAGCAAATGATTTTATTGTTTGTATCCGTAGCTATAAAAAAACATCTAGTCTCCATACCAAGGAGTAGAGCACAGAATCATTGTTAGGACCTTAAGACACAACACATTTTCTAGGCCACTTGTTTCTGAGAAATCTATCTTTCCTTGGGAATATGACTTAACTAGGTCATCGAGGCACTCACATACCTGTAATGCAGTCTGTGGATAACACTTCCGTAGCACACTTGTATGTTGCATGCTTGTGCAGCGGTGCACAATGATTATCGTGCTTTACGATGCAGTGAAATGATATTTTCCTTTCTATCAAGTTAAACATTGCTTTGCATAATCGTTTTCATGTTGCAAGGTATAAAATGTTAAATGGTATATATTGGCAAAGAAGCCTTCGATTGGGAAAAATATCGTTCCTTTCTCACTGTGACTTCTTTTTAGACCCGTAAGTTCGTTATTGCAATGAATGCGAGTTTTCGGCGTAGGTACTAACACCGTTACTCAAAAATATTGTTTTGTGGATGAAAGATTACATTTCTAGGCCGCGACAAAATGTACCTGTAAATGGTATTCTATTCATTATTGAAATACACATCAGCTGGGGCACCCCACGGTTCTGTTCTGAGTCCGTTTCTATTCCTTGTATACATACATACAATTAACCTCGTTTATATGCTGATGACACTGACATGGTGCATCTGCTGTTGGAACTAACCACTGGCATCAGGGTCTATCTATGGCCATATTGACAGTATATGCTACTCTGCCCGTATAATTATATTCCTTTACAAAAACGTATATGAATTCGATATATCAACACTATCCTAACTCAAAATCATTTAGTCTGGGATAACAATGCTTGTGTCGACTCTGATAAACTTGAAATGATACCACTGGAAATAGTTAGAGTAATTACTTGTCTTCTTAAATATGAATCTCGAATTAGTGTATATGAATCAGTGTGGGAGACACTCTAAAGAAGAGGTAGAACAACAAAACTATGTTCTGTACATACATTTGACAACAACCTATGTCCATTTTACTTAATGGCCTTTTACCACCATAACCTCAGGAAGAGAAACACTTTTCTCGAATCTTACTTACCAGCACTCTTATATACGCTACAGCCTTTCAGAGGAATGTAAACTTTCTTCTTCACTTAGTCTTTCATGTTACCTCTTGTAACAGTCATTTGCTGTAACATTTCCTCCCACCAAGATGAATTGTATACACCTTTCATGATAGCGATAGTGTATTTAATGATATAACTACACTAAACGCCAAAAGAAACGTTACCCTCCTTCCTTTGTGACGGAGGTACCTATCTTCAGCTGGCGTTGTGATGCGTGGACGTCCACTTCTTGGTCTGTCTACGGTGATCCCAGTCTGTCTGAAGCCCTGAATAAGTCTCATAACCGTGATACGGTGGCATCCGAGGGCGTTGGCAACAGCATTGTATGTCGACCCCATCTGCATCATCCCAATGGCTATTTCTCTCCCTTCAGATGTTAATTGTGGCATATTTCTCGTAGTTATGTATAAGATCATGTCTTCTAGGCTCTCTTTATACCCTATAGAATCATTCTACATGTTAAATGGATGTAAATACTGTTTGAATATTGCTGCGTTTTGACGATTGATATTGCTATGTGTAAAATGGAAATGGGAAAATGTTACTTTGCAAGCAAAACTGTTAACAAAGATAATTGTAGATGTTCCTAAACATTTTTTCACAATAGCAAAGACACGTTTTACTTGTTTTCACTAATGCAAATCAGAAGAAAATGTTTTAAAAGACTGAAATCATAGCAATGATTATTTTACAATTTTACACACTCTACAACAGTTGTTTCTTGTTTTAATAGTTGAAAAATGGTGACCTCTAAATGGTTTATCATTGTCCCAAAGCAGAATTTTATTTAAACCTTTCTTTCGGACATCAAAATCCCTATTATTGGTTTATTTCGGCATGGACGAATATAGGACAATTAAACTCTTCTGAAAAAGATGCATTTCACCCAAATATGAATGCATTTGAGAATTTTCTTTTCGTGATTTGAATAAAGCTGTGTTGTTAAGCTTTTTTGTAAACTAAAACCTTCTAAAATATCTTTGATAGTTCTTCAGTTATTCATAAAGGTAGCAGGGTAACGTTTCTTTTGGCGTCTAGTGTAATATTACTACTTCCGTGGACTCCCTCCCAGTATTCACACATTTATCCGCTGTCTCTATACAAAATTACGAAAAGGACATTTTATGTTTGACTGCATTTGTACAATTCATTTGATCTTTTATGCTAATAAAATATATCTACATACAAAACTGACTGTGCGTGTACAATATTCAAAATGGTCAAAACGAGATTACAAATGTCGGTCATTTTGTAATTTGTTGTTTAACTAAGCTACATGTGTTTAGTTCCGGTTGGTGTCATTCAGATTTGTACAGCACTTGGAAATGTATCCGTAAAATGTGTGCATAACCTTCACTCCATATTCACCCAATAAGGAATCCCTTGCCTCTGTCCCAATATCATACCCCATCTCCTGGCGAACCCCTAAACATCAATCATCAGGGACCTAACCCCAAACTACTTAAACCAAAACAACATGAGCTTACATGTCACTGCACACGTACATCCAGTCGAGACATGGTTTGATGGTTGAAGACATGATACCGTTATCTCTTTTCTCCAGACAACATGAGTCGGGATCGGCACCGTGGAGTTTTACCAACAACATTTGGCTTTGCTGTGTACATGTTTCTCCTGATACACCACGGTAAGACACACCATATATGTAGTTGAAGAGTGCTTATAATTAAATCTTCTTGAATGTATCTTTTACTATTATCACTACAATACCATATGTGGTACTCGATCCATTGTTTCTACACTTTTCTTTGCCTTAAACATATGTCAATGAAACAGTGACTATAAATACAATAATGTATCCAACTGTCATAAGTGCAACGACCATTGTTTAACATATTTCCCATGTGTAAAACTTTGATCAACACTTTCATATCTGTATATTGGCATTTGAAACAACAGTCCACACTATCTCAAGTTGCATCTATGTATTGATTGGGCCACCTTCACTTCTTTTTGCATGCCTAATTCTTTCACAAAAAAAGTTACATTTACCAGTGGCAAGTACATTATTTGTAATAAAAGACAATTCAGACAAAAAGACATCCTATCGTATGTTGAAGGTGGCAGTAAGTGCGTGCATAAAACTCCACGACACTTGAAGAAGGAATGCTGTAAGAACTACTGTCCCGAAAACCAGTGTCTCGAGGAATGTACTGACTGTGTCAGCGGCTTCTATGGGTCTGACTGTAGATGGAGCTGCCGGGGAAACTGCTTTAATGGACGATGTGCCCTACTGGCCAATGGTCGAGCCGTCAACTGTACGGAGGGGTGTGTGTTGGGGTGGAGGGGGTTAACATGTAGTACTAGGTGTAAGCGTCCGTGTCTGGAGTGTGACAGATACACGGGAGATTGTGTGGGACAATGCAGGGATGGTTTCTGTGGACCTGGGTGTTTACAGCGATGTCCGTATCCATTTTCGACGTGTGACAAAAGTTGTGTGAGGCCGAGGAAACTAAACATGACTCAGGCATTGGGGCAGACACATGGAAAAAGCCACATAAACAATGCACACGGCAGTTACAAAGAAGGTATGTATGTATGTATGTATGCATGCATGCATGCATGCATGTATGTATGTATGTATGTATGTATGTATGTATGTATGTATGTATGTATGTATGTATGTATGTATGTATGTGTGTGTATGTATGTATGTATGTGTGTATGTATGTATGTATGTGTGTATGTGTGTATGTATGTATGTGTGTATGTATGTATGTATGTATGTATGTATGTATGTATGTATGTATGTATGTATGTATGTATGTATGTATGTATGTATGTATGTATGTATGTATGTATGTATGTATGTATGTATGTATGTATGTATGTATGTATGTATGTAGTATGTGTGTAGTATGAGTGTGTGTGGATGGATAGATGTGTTTGTGTGTGTAAGTGTAAGTGTAACTGTGTATGTGAACGATTATTAGTTTGATCTCACACAATTAAACAAATTGGATAATTCGCAATTCTTTGTTCTTCTTTGATTACGTTCGAAATATAATTGTATTTGCATATGAACTTGGTGAGACAAAAATGATATGTGTGTATCAACCGTTCTCTGTTGTAGAGCATCCCCAACAATCGGCAGCTGAGTTAACACCTGATTGTGGCAGGTGGCAAATCTCCCCATATTTTCACGCAGGCGTAGCTGTATTAGCTGCAGTAATAGGTGTCATTGTCGTCGTCTCCGTGATCAGGTAGTTCTTTACTCTTAACACATCGAAATGACTTCGTTCATTACGTTTAAGAAACCGCACTCTCAGTAAGAATAAATCCAAACAATCTGGGCCAGTCTGGTGGTCGGGACCAGACAACCCAGTGATTAGGTACCATCATTGGCATCCATCCACGCAATTAGGAAAGACACGTCTAAAGTCATATAAAATCAACCAATATATTCACGTTGTTTTAGCTTGTGTTATAGAGGCTAGGGGTACCATGGGTACAGTTTTTAACTGAAAAGCTGTCTGTTGCAGACTGAAAGCAAGGCAAACGAGGAGTCAAAGGAAGATAGATGCAGTTGAGAAACCACACTCATGCGAGGAGTCTCATCGGTTCCTTGCTGCGAAATCCAACATCAATTCTGTGAGTGACGATGGAATTCGCATTTACTTATCTGGGACTATTCGAATAAACTATCGTGGACCAAATGTGTATATGTTATATCCTCCTAATGTAGCCTTTAATGACACAGTTATACGTACATAAGCCAGAAAATGAGATTGTGTGCATTATCCACTTCATGGAGGCCATGGATATATGTTACGAATACATTCGATTACATGTACCTCAAGTAGTACTCCCAGAGTTGTTAGAATAGCGAATATTTATCTTTAAATTCATCATTTATTTGTACATCAATGCAGCGGAATGATCATACGTTATTTATGTCAGGAAGCAGGGTAGAGTAGTCTCCCTTTGGTTGTATCACTAACAGAACATAAGGAACCTATTCATTTCAAATGCTAAATAGTATCCGCAGTGCTGTTCATGGTGATGTAACGTCATTGTTTATTAGAAACACATCTATAATTGTGTTGTTATATATTATGTTTTTGTCTGTGAACTATTTCACTAAACCAGTGCATGTAAAGTTGTCCAAGGCTACCTGTCAGAGTTTACTTTCTTTGAAGAAGCTACTGAAAAGAACAGGTTCAGGCAGCTTAAAAAGTCTGTCTGTGACATTCGTTGAAAGTTTGCCTTTGATTTAAAATACATTATGATTTCACATACTGTTTAAAATGTAAGCAATAAATAACGTTCATCACAAATGTAGCATAGCTTGGATTATTGATTCGGAATTGTTAATCATAAATATTTTTTAATCTATATTCAAATACAAAACTGTATAATATTCCCATATGTTCCAGCATACTGCACACTTAAGCTTGCTATATAAATTTATCTTCACTGTGCACTTTGTTTCCAGAATGTATAGTATACATTGTACATTTTTCTTACCTGATATAATGTTTGTATATAAGGAAAAGGCGACAGTAGGTGGTGGACTTGTGCCCATTGCCTCCCCTGTAAGTTCACCAACTACTTACAGTAGATGCTTATGTTCTTCTGTGTGGTAAAATGGTCAACGATGATGACTATATGGTGTTTTCAACCAATTTAGTCCATGGCATAAAAGGCAGTATCTGTACCCACTGTCATAGTCAGTCGTCATATCACAATTGGTATCACTTACATGTAGATAATTCTAACTGGTTTCATCATTACAGGTCATTCCACCATCCCGTGCTGATGAAGGAGGAGGAAGGGGCCCTGTGACGTGTGTGACTGAAATGGGTATTCTTTTCCAGAATAACCATTAAATCATTGCATTAAAGAGTGAATGAATGTGGTTTTACACCGCTTTTAGCATTGTTGGAGCACAATCCTGGCAGAGGACACCTGTAAACGGCTTGACATAAAGACCACTAGGCAACTCCCACTGTAATATTGGGGACATATTCATGTTTCATCACACAGCAGTCGAGTATTCTCTTTAGCTTAAACAGGTTAATTAGTCTGTACAACATGAACACATGTTTCAATATATGTCTTTTTAAAAGCCCCAAAAGGCTCCAGAGGACATTCCACATTTCCGCTACTGATTTTGACCTCAACAGGGCAACCAACACGTTGTACAGAATATTCACTCTCGTCTAGAGTTGCCCCCCTTACACTGTCGATCACTATGTGTATTTGTACATCCAACAGTTTTTCTGAAAAACTTTATATTAACTTTAATTTAACTTTTTGCATTCTTTGATTCCTTTACAAGAATTTACGTCTTTCTTTAAACAGATGAACATTTATACAAATATGAGTTATAGTTATAAGATTACTATCCCAATTTCATTGTACCAGGAGCAAAGAAATATGTATGCCGAATATTGTTTGAGAAGTTATCGTTGATAAACGTAGGTTTTTTTAGCTTTTAACCACCACCTATGCTGTATAAAAGAAACTCTTCATTAAACAGGAAGTTCAACATGTTTTAGTTGTTATTTCGTATTCTGCAGTTTTTGACACGTTCTGACACTTTAATGTAAGACACATGTGGCTGAAAGCAAACCGATTTACTTATTTCAAAAGGATATACAAATTATTTTTCCTATTCCCTATATTTTTGTACGTGAACGTAAGCCAACATCCTGTTCACTGCCAAAAAGTCTACATTTACAAGCTTGTAATTAAAGATGAGATTTTACTAGATATATGTAATTTTGTAAGGATGAGGTTTACTAGAAATTTACAAGTCTGTAGATATATGATTTACAAACAATACAATTTCGTAAATATTCGCAAAACTGGTGTGTGATGTTAAATATTTTTACGCATGGGCTAAATGCAATTTGTACCTCCTGTCTGAACCGGTAAACACCGGTAAACCGGTTATACTGCGCAGCCGTACGTACGTGTGTGTGTGTGTGTGTGTGTGTGTGTGTGTGTGTGTGTGTGTGTGTGTGTGTGTGTGTGTGTGTGTGTGTGTGTGTGTGTGTGTGTGTGTGTGTGTGTGTGTGTGTGTGTGTGTGTGTGTGTGTGTGTGTGTGTGTGTGTGTGTGGTTGGGTTGGAGGGGGGGGGGGGTTGTGTTTTATAAACATATTTTTATGATGTAATTTGACCCCACTTTTAGTTATGTGTAGGGTCTAAGGCTGGGTCTATGTAAAGATTAATGTGTTTATTGTATATATACTTTTTATCTGAGCCTATGCAAAAATTTATGTGTTTATTGTATTTTATCCTGTTTACATACTTGTGACACTTTTATAGAATATGTCTGTCTGTCCGTCTGTAATAAACCAGGTTCAGTCAGTTAGTGGGTCTGGTAATTTGTAGGAAATACAATTAAATATATTTGCGCCTTTGTGAATAAAGATAAAACATTAATACAACTTAAAAGGGTATTTTGGAAACTTCTAGCCATACTAGCGGTAAATATAACATCGGTCTTATCATACAGTCAATATCAATATTTGACACATAGAACAAGAAGGATGCAGATTGAGTTTAAACATTATCCCAATGTATAAAAATGTTTGCAAGTTTATGTAATTCGTAAACGTAAGACATTAGAGACATACATCTTGGGTAATGTTTGTGTCGCTTTTCTTGTTGCTCATGAGGCGGAACCGTAATGAATAGGATCGCCACACTAGTCTAGAAGTGCAGTCTATTTATCTCTAATGTTCAGCAGGTCACCCAGCCCCACCAGTGGGTACACAACAAACGTAAACCTTCGCCCAAAGCAAGAACAGTGCCAGTATTGTAGAAAATCAGTATGATACCTCCCACACTCCAGATAATTTGTCGCTTTGGAACTAGCCACAGAATGTTCAGGTTAGTACGAACAAGGTTTACCCCAATGCTAGACTCACACAGTCCACGTCTAAGATACGGGGGCGTACTTTACAAGTATCCAGATTGAGATTAACAGTATTAATTGCATGAAAATGGTGCAAATTGTAAATTTACTGTACATAAACAAAGGGACAGGTTTCAAAGCACGAACTTGAACATGGACACTGGAAAGTTATAAACTGTTGATACACGGAGCGTAACCGAACTATTTCTATATTATGTTCAAGAGAGCAGATATATATATTTCCTTTGGAAGAACATTTATAAATATGTAGCTCATATAACCATAAATGTGGTTCAGTCATCAGAGGAAACAGCGACAATGGCGAGTGACTTCATGTAACAGCCATTCTCTCTCAACTCTGATCCGCACTTTGTCTAAGCAAACTTTACTCACTGAGCCACTGTGCTGACAAACTGCATTACTATTAATTCCCTGGTCTAATTGGAGGGGAGGGGGAGGGGGGGGAGGGGGCGATGTGTGTGTGTGTGTGTGAAGATATGCAGTGTGGATGATAAGGCCTGGGGCATCATCCAAGGACCAAAATCCGGATTGTACACCATCGAAATATATGCAGACATTGTAGGAAACACATGCTATGACCAGATTTACGTTGTTTCAAGATATGTCCTCATTAGTAGTTATACTAATATATAGAATTGGTTGCTAGTTAATCACAGACGACGGCGAATAGAAAAAAACACACCATTATCCCAACTTTCTTTTAAAGATGTATTGAAAGACAACATGTATGCTATGTCTTCATGCGTCAAATGCGGTAACTGTTGCGTTAATATATAGCATAAATTGATACTATTAAAGTACGGCTTGTTCCTGCAGTACTCATGTATAAATATGTCACATGTAAGAAGCACTATGTACATGAACAATGTGAACTCAAATAGAACAAAAGATGCGTAAAATATTTCAGTTACATTGACATGGGGTATTGAAACAAGGGGATCCTTGGGTAAAGGAGAAACTGAAAGAAGTAGTGGTAAAATCCTTCCCAAATTTACAAATCTTTACAAGCTTTGTAAATATCATCAAAACTTTTTGTAAATATGAACTTTGCAAATTGTAAATGTAGGTAAATCACCATATTTTCCTTGTGGTTTCTGTGCATCTGCGGTGTAACTATTCAAGATAATGACAGCAAGCACTGCTACAACCACGGTTACAACCACGGTAACAGCAGCTAATACTTCCTTCGTTGCCACTCGACGAGTTGTGGGAAAACATATCATATAACTGTACTCCATCAAACGACACAGATCCTGAGTGGCTATTTAGTGGATATTTAGTGGATTGGGTGGTCTCGGTAATTTGGTTGATTGGCATGAGTCGATGCTCACCACATCAACCACTGGGTCCAGGATTGACTATTTATGTCCGCCGTCATAAGCTGGAATAACAGCAAACACACCAAACACAAGATGGCACCAGTCGCGTACCAGTACGGCACTCTCCATGTCTCAGGGAAGGTTCCTTTTCCGACTGAAGAAACCCTTTAATAATAAAACATGAAATAGTTTAAAAATAGAACATACACAACACATCGTCCATTGAAGATTGGATACATTCCCTCAATAATACTAGGCGTCGTACCACAAGCACTACTGTGTCGCACAACAGGATACATGACAAATAATGTTGTACTAAAATCGTTGCTTTGTGAAGTGCCCTATGACGTTGAACAATGATTGATAAGTAGCTTAACGTCTTCCTGGTTGTATATATAGAAACAGCCGTATCTTGCCAGTACTGGTACACTTTGCAGTGATGGTAAGATCTTTAAGAAGATATAATTGATCACGAATGTTGAACAAAACAAATAGGAATAGCATTATTAGAAAGGATGACGGCCTAATTGATGTGTGATCGAGGATTATTGTAAACTGGCTCCAAAACATATTAGAAACACGTTTCTTAGGGTTAGGATTTTTTTAATATGTTGGGATATGACAAACAATTTAGCATAGCTGATTCAACTAAAAGTAAGCTGTCACATATTGCCTCACAGACGTGAACATACACGTGTAGTAATACCCTGGGGGCATGTAGTACATCACATGACAATGTATATCATACAACACACTTTTGTGTCAGTTTATATCAGGTGGCACATATGCAAACACGTATGACTGTGTCTGTCTTACAGCATATTTATATTACAGAGTATATCTTGCAGCATAGTCATATATGTGTACATTTCATGGAGTATACAGCATGGCTGTGTATCTTGTAGTATATCATATGGAGTATACAACATATACTTTACACAGTATATCTTACAGCATATTCATATATCTGTATATTCCATGGAGCACACACGCATGACTGTGTCTGTCTTACAGCATATTTACATTACAGAGTGTATCATGGAGGATACAGCATGGCTGTGTATATCATATAACATATACTTTACACAGTATATCTTACAGCATATTCATATATCTGTATATTCCATGGAGCACACACGTATGGCGGTGTATATCATACAACATATACTTTACAGAGTATATCTTACAGCATATTCATATATCTGTATATTCCATCCTGTACACACGCATGGCTGTGTATATCATACAACATAAACTTTGCAGAGTATAACTTACAGCATATATATGAATGCAGAAATAAAGATGGGTTGATTGATATTCACTGTCATATGCTGCATAATGTATACTGATGTGTGTGTACACACACACACGAGATATATATATATGTGTGTGTATATATATATATATATACATACACATACATATTTTTGTATTTATATAATATACATTGTGTGTAATAATATAATATACATATGTATATACATACATTGTGTGTGTGTGTGTGTGTGCACACACATCAGTATACATTATGCAGCATATGACAGTGAATATCAATCAACCCATCTTTATTTCTGCATTTATAGCGACACAACCTGATGAACAATTACACCAATAGGCAGTAGACATTTCAGAAAGTAAAGTTTGTCTCTGTAAAAAGACATAATGGATGTTTATGGTCAAGCGTTCGAAGTGCTCTGGCACTACATCCATGTAGCAGTTGTAGTAGCTGCTGCAGCAGCAGTAGTAATGGTGATGGTGCTAGGAGAGAGAGAGAGGGGGGAGAGAGAGAGAAATATATATTTTCTTTATTCCCTCCAGAAATCAATCCGAAGATTATTGATACATGAATTCAATTAAACATATAACACATTAGTATTTACATACAGGACAATGTCATTCATAGTTGACAATTGATATGTTCAGAATTGTAATCAAATATTCACAAAGGCATGGCGTCACTTGTACAGTGTCTCCATTAAAATACAAGCTCAAGATATGGTTACAAATGATAGACATATGTTGCAAAGTTTATAATGACATTATGATATAGTAGTAGTAGAAGTAGTAGCAGCAGTAGCAGTAAAGCGGCAGCAACAACAGTATTGTGGTAGCTGTTGCAATAGTAAACCCAACAAAACAGATGTCATTGGGCCTTTCAGTAAATCTAACTGGGATGGTGAACCACTGCACGTGTGATTAAGATGCAATAATTAGTGCAGATGTTGTTGAGTAGCTAGTTAGGGTTTGAGATGACTTCTATTGAAGTCCATGTAGATTCCATGTAACAGT